GCCAGGTGGCTCGCCGCGGCGGATCATCGTGCAGGCGTCCACGGGCGAGCTGCTGCGCTGCCTGGGCGACTTCGTGTGCCGGCGCTGCTACCGCCTCAAGGAGCTGAGCCCCGGCGAGCTGGTGGGCTGGTTCCGCGGCGTGGACCGCTCCCTGCTGCTGCAGGGCTGGCAAGACCAGGCCTTCATTACGCCCGCCAACCTGGTGTTCGTGTACCTGCTGTGCCGCGAGTCGCTGCGCGGGGACGAGCTGGCGTCGGCCGCCGAGCTGCAGGCCGCCTTCCTCACCTGCCTCTACCTCGCCTACTCCTACATGGGCAACGAGATCTCCTACCCGCTCAAGCCCTTCCTGGTGGAGCCCGACAAGGAGCGCTTCTGGCAGCGCTGCCTGCGCCTCATCCAGCGGCTCAGCCCGCAGATGCTGCGGCTCAACGCCGACCCCCACTTCTTCACGCAGGTCTTCCAAGACCTCAAGAACGAGGGCGAGGCCGCCGCCGCCCCCGCCGCCGCCGGGGGTCCCCCGAGCGGGGCCTCCGCCGCCTCAGCCGCCAGGGACAGCTGCGCGGCCGGAGCCAAGCACTGGACTATGAACCTGGACCGCTAGGGACGCCCCGGTGCGCGGCCGCCCCCCGCCCCAGTCCCCGACACACACTGGGAGTCCCCGGGACCATCACGCCGCCGCCGCTGATGCCGCTGCTCCACGCCCCCGCCGGGCTGGGAAGGAGCTGCCCCTGACCCGCAGGGGAAGCTGGAGGCCCGGACGGCCAAGGCTGCGCGTCCGGATTTGCTGGGGAGAGGGGGCAGTGAACGCGGGAAGGGGACCTCCAGCCTCACCCTTGCTGTCTGCGCCCCCATCTCCCCAGTTCTACCCGGGCCGCCCCTTCCTGTGCGTGTCTGTTGGCCCGTCTCGCCTTGGGTTTGCCCGATTTCCCTGCATCTCCATCGCTCCTCCTGTCCGCCTTGCCCCCCCACCCCCCGCCTTTGCACCTTGTGCCCCTTGCGCGCGTGTGTTCCCACGTCCCTCTCGCTCTCTACCTGCCTGTCTCCGGTTGCACCGTTTCTCGCCCCGCACCTGTCTCGGCGTTTCCCCCTCTTGTTGGCTTTTCCTCCTCTCCTGTCAGGTGTCACCATCTCTCCTGTCTGCCTTCCCCCTCCGCCAGTGTCACCCTCCACTTCTTTCCCTGACTGAGTCCCCGTCGCCACCCTCTAGACGAAAGGGGATGTGAGTTTTTAATTTGGATCCACTGAGGTGCGGTGGGCAGCTGCAGCCTCAGCCCCCAGACACCCACCAGGACTGTCCCTCACCCCGCTCCCACCTCCTCCTCTTTTTCCTACGTGTTGCATGCCGGGAGTTGGGGAAAAGGGGGATGCCGGCTTCAGAAGGCTGAGATTTGGGGCAAAATCAACCTGGAAGGCCACCCTGGGGGCGGCAGCGGCAGCGGCGCCTGGGCGAAGGGTGGGAGGAGAGAGAAAACTCTTCTTACTCTGGGGTAGGGGCGCCCTCTTCCTTGTTCTTAGGTTTTTTTTTTTCCCCCTTTTTAATTTGAGTTTAACTGTCAAGACTAGTAGCTGGTTTCTTTTTTTTTTTTTTTTTTTCCCCCTTTTTAATTTATTTGATTGTTTCTGGAGGGAGGGGGGAGGGAGGTTTGGGCCGGGAGCTATTCGAGGTGCTGAGCCGGGTGGGACCGGAATCCTCCCCGGAGGGGACCAGGGGCTGGGTTGGGCCTGGGGCCGTGTCCAAGGTGCCAATGATGCGGGCCGACGGCGCGGGCTGTACTGTATGTCTGTCCGTTTGTCCCAGAGGGAACTATAAAGCGCTGGCAGCGCCTGCAGACGGTTCTGCGCCGGCCTTTCTTTGGGCCCTGGGAGGGAGGGGACGGGAGCGGAACTGTCACGGGCAGGAGGGCAAGAGAGAGGCGCCTAGCGAGGAAGCTCGAGTCCCTGCGAGCTGCTGCTTTTTCTACCCACTCCCACCCACCCCAGGCTTCCATTTCAGAGTAAAGTGAGGTCGTCTGAGGCTTGCTGATAAACCTAAATCCCTCTCCCTCCATCTTGTGTGACCTAGCCCATCACTAATGCCCGGGGACTTAGGGGCTGAGTGATGAGGTTTTCTTTCTGTGATGGCGCTAACTGAGGAAGAACTGGCTAGTCATCTGTGTTGCTTTTCTCTCTTCGCACCGTATATCCGGTCAAGGGTGCAGTCAGGCCTGACTGTCCATGCCTGTCATCTCAGGTGGAGCCTGACTGCCACACTCGGCCCCACACTTCCTGGCTGGGCTGCTTCGGCCACACGCCCACCCGGGACAACCATGGGAAGTCCATCCTTGCTTGAAGCTTATCCCCTGCGCCTTTGCCCATGGAGAAGGGAAGTCGGCCGGGAGAAGGGGGCCATTCTCCGGAATTGAAGAAGCCATTTAGCCTGAGATCCCTGCTCCGGCCCCACTGCCTTCTCAGCCGCATGCCTAAGCTCCCCTTTCACTCTTTCTTTGGTCCAGGGAGGCCTGGCTCGAGGAGGACGCTGGCGTCTCCGACCCGGATCGCTGCCCAGCCGGCGTGGATCGGAGCAGAGAGCCCGGTGGGGCGGGCCGAGATGAGGCCCGGAATCTCTGTCCGTGGTGCTGACAGGCGCTCTCCGGCAGGGTGGGGCTTGTAGGGGCAGCAGGCATTACGGACACAGCCTCAAATAGGCTTTCCGAATATTTGGGAATGGGAAGGGATGTGCTCTGGCCAGGACATCCAGGAATCTGGCCGGAGAACCCAGGAACGTCGGCTCCCACTTGCCCTCTTAATAGGACAGGACACAACTCCTCCAACGCCTGGGCCCAGCGTCCTTGCACCCAGCCTGGAGCCGGAAATCCCCGGCACAGATTTGTGAATCGGGTTCCGGGGGGAGGGGGCAGGGAGAGAAGGCGGAGCGGCGGGTGGGGAGCTGGCAGAAGGGAAGGCGGGAGCAACTGCCCATTGGCTGGAATTTGGCGCAGTCAGCGCGGTGTCGTCATCTCTCTTGGTTTAGGAGGAGGGAGGGGGGAGCACTCGGGTCATTCCGCGGCTGTCGCCATAGTAACCAGACTGCGCTGAGCGGGTGGGGCCACCTCTCCACTCTCCCACCTCTTGCTGGGGAAGCAATCCTAGTCTGCTTTATTTGGAGCTAGTTAGCAAAACTAACAACCTGATTAGAATTTCTGGGTTAGAGGATCCCAAAGGAGGTAGGAGAGAGACCAGAGAGCCTACAGAGATTCCCAAACATCCTGCCTTGGAGAGCTCCGGATACTGTCCCTGAACCCAGAGGCATGGCACCCTCTCTCTACTACACACACACACACACACACGCACACACACACGCACTCATGCCTCCAGGGACCTGTGGCATGGCGCTTAGAGACCTAGAATAAGAGAAGTCTCAGTGAGTGGTATCAAATTAAATCTGATTTTTCTTGCATGCCCCAAGGCATGAGACACTGCCCTGATCCGATTAGAGGTGAGGACTGGAGGAGGCTCAGCACCAAAGCACGGAAGAATTAGCCTCCTGGGTCACACTTGGTCAGATTCTTGCTTCTGGGAGAGAGTGGGGTTGTTGAAAACTATCTTCTGAGAAGGGAGAGGGCGAAGGGAGAAACAGAGTGAGGTGGCTGGCAGTGAACCCAGAGAAAGTGAGTGGGGCTGAGGAGGATGGAGGCGAAGCGGCCCAGAGCTCTTGAGAGAGTCTGCCGTGGTGAGGGATGGCCTAAGGGAAGGGTGAAGCTGGAGAAAGAGAGACAGCAATCCCGCTGGAGCCATGACTCAGCACTTCCCATGCAAAAGCGTTGGGGCGAATCTCCCAGTACAGGGGCAGGGGAGAGGAGAGGGGAGCAGGAAAGCAGATGTGTGGATAAACGGTGAACATGCTGATACACGCATTGACACAACCAAATACACACCCTGTAATCCAAAGACAGGGAGCTCTGGTAGCATAGTGGCTAAGGCACTTGACTGCTCACCAGAAGGCTGGCGGTTCAAACCCACCAGCCACTCCTCGGAAGGAAGGTTGGGCAATCCTACTTCCATAGTGATACTGCCTCGGAAACCCAAGGAGGGGTCGCTATGAGTTGGGGCCGACTCGACGGCAAATAACAATCCAAAGACAAGCACATATGCATTTACATTGACGAAGGTTCGTTCAGTCATACAAACACGCAATTCCACTCCTCTCTCCCCTGCCCCCCTGACTGGAGCAGAGGACCATGCTGGCCTGTCCCTGGAATACCTCAGTACCTACTGGGAAAGGAGAAATTGGAGAAAAAAAAAAAAAATCAGACATGTGGGTTGGGAAGTTGTCATGGCAACTGCTTTGCCTGCCAGGAAGGGTGCCCAGCAACCAGAGCATCTGGCAGGACCAGGAGGATGTCCTAAGGCCTCTACCCACTGGGCCCCAGCCTCAGGCACCCAGATGGGCACCTCCAGATTTCCACAACAGAGACTGCCAAAGCAGCCTCCAGCTACACTGCCAGCACCAGGCAGCAGGGTAAGAGGGCCCGACTTTGTTCACGTGCCCCACTTTGGATGGTATTCCTGAGCCTTTTTATACCATGTTGCTTTTGTTGGGTGCCATCTTTCTCCTGCAGAGCCGCTAGGTGGGTTCTAACTGCCAGCCTTTCAGTTCACAGCTGAACATTTAACCATTGCACTACCAGGACTTCTTTCATACACTGTAGACAACATTTTCTGTCATTGGCCACAAGATAGCAGGAGTAAACCCTTTAAAGACCTATGTAACACTGTTACCTTCCCTCGGCACCTTGCCACACACCCTATAAAGAAAGTCATTTATACCCACACGAGCTAGTAACCTGAGGGGCAGAAAATTGTTTTGGTTTGGTGTGATGAGTGATTGGGTGTGTGATGAATAAACTGAGGGCGAGTCTCTGGACTCAAGCTCTTCTGACTTTGTGTAATACTTTGATGAGGTTTTTAGAGGTTGGCATCTCTGTTGCACTTCTAGGCTGGCTGGCTGACTTCTGACCCTAGCTCATTGCCCAATCCAGTTTAGGGGTTTTATGTTATTTTCCTGGATTCTTCCAACTCTCTTTAGCAATGAGCTGCTCTCAAAGCTTTTTCTGTTCGAAGAATTGCTCACAGTAGTACTCCGCTCTCTTAAGACTTTTCTCCCTTTCTTCCCCACTCACTTTAGTCACAGTTCCCTGTGATTGATAGCATCAAGCTCATGCACAGTAAAATCAGTCCCTCTGTGTGCATTTTTATATGATTACCTAAAAGGAAGGCAGGGTAATGATAATATAAATCAGGAAAGAGGTATATATTTTTTTTTACATTACAACCTTTATACATACTTCTTCTTTAAAACTATAACTTACATACTATTCCAGAGAAACAGAAACATCAAGAACAGCCTAGGAAAGAAGAGTAGTGATGGAGGGTTTGCAATGCCAGGCATTAAAATGTATCATAGAACATGTAGCTAAAATATATTACACTCACATAGGACTAAACATACCAGTAAAACAGAACAGATATTCCACAGCTGAACTCTAGCTTACATGGGGATTTAATATATGACAAAGACCCCATCTCAAATCCATTGAGAAAAGATAGATTAGTCAGTCAATGGTTTA